GCTGTAGAAAAAACTCGCGCACACTCGCACTCCAGAGCGGAAAAAAGTAAGTCTGCACCGAGAAAGGGGGGAGACCCCACCAGCACAACTTAGGGACTCACTAAACCTTAACGAATAAAAACATCCCGAAAATTGTCAAAGGCTAATGTAAAAGGTTAGCGAGTATTGTCGGAAAATAGGCTGCCAGACAAATAGAAAAAGTTTGTTAGCGAATAAGTATGTAAATGAGGGGAGTGATCACATTCAGAATTGTGACGTCACCTCACAGTATAAAGACTGAACCTCAAGTGCAGATGGACGAGGTGAGCTTCTGATAGCAACNTTAATTTAATACTTTAATTCAATTATTTTAAGTAATTTTAATTTAATTATTTAAAAATTTCGCGGCACCCTTGTGGCGTTCTTGAGGCACCCTAAGGTGCCGCGGCACCCGCTTTGAGAACCACTGTATTATGCCATAAATGTGTATGACAAAGCTGACAAAAACTGTACATACTGATAAGCATAAAAAGAGGCAAATTACATATGCTCATTAGCATCTTACTTGATGATTTACTAAAAAAACTCGTCCATCTTGGTTTCTTTCAATACCGCTTTTCTGTTTATTGAATACCACACCACTTGATAGTAGCAATATCATGTGCAGTACAGCCTACTTGTTTATGCTGAAACTCATCAGGAAAAGCTTTATGACTTGGAAATACTCAATGACCTTGCTAAATACACTTGACCAGTAACTGAGTGTTCACTAGGTGACTCCTCCTCAATTGTATCGGCTGGCTGATTCTCTTTGCACAATTATTCAATTGTACTTATCCCAAATGTAACAAGTGCATCATCAAACTACAAAATTTCCAGAAACAAATATCCCAAATATTAACTAAATGTTGAAAGTTTGAGGTAGAAAAAAAATATGTTATTCCGAGTAATGGATCTGCTAAAAGGAGGTAAAATTACATTGATTTGGCAAGATCTAGAAAAAAAATCCATCATACCAAAAAATCTTGTCATGCAATCCATTAAAATGAGATCTTACTGTAGACATAAATTTCAAAATTTTGAGGCTTTTCACCAAAAAGAGTGACATAATTTAAAGCAGTTTTTCTCTTTGAACTCTTCTGCAAAATATAGTAAATATCTAACATGAATTGTTTATTAATGTTTACCCGATTTAGGCAATTTGAACCTTTGTGTACTATAAGACGCACCAAGTGACACAACTACCTTGGAGATATGAAGATGGCTAAACTTTTTAAAAGCAACAACACTTTTATATTTCCAACTAATGTGTTGGGCATTGTCACAGCCAAACACAATTTCTTGAAAAAATTGTTTATTCTTTTTACAAATTCCTTATTAAGCATATTGAAAATACCATCTCCCATATTGTCTCTGGATTCTAAACAGACAAAATAACAGAATATATTTTTCCTACTTCAGAATTAAAAATCAAAACTACACATGGATAAATTTTAATGTCTGTCAGTTGCCTCTATTCTTCATCAATTTAAACTTTCCATCCAATTCTTCATGTGAGACTTCCTATGTAACAACATTAACAAAATTAATATATATTCAGTAGTTTTGGAATGAAAAGGGTGCAAGGTACTTTTGACTTATCCTATATATTAAATATATGATTAAATTATTATTTTTAAGAATATTTATTAAAATAATCCATTTTTTATCATTTGAAGATAACATACTAAAATTAATTTATTGTTATCAATTTTTCATATTCATGAATTTTTCAAAAAAACCTGGATAACAATTTCATTATACGTGAAGGGATACAAATTACCAAGAGATGGTAAGACAACTCTTGATTGTGGGTTGGTCAGGGAGAAGTAAAATATGTTGGCCACAAGGTGGTTACACTTAAATACAACATGAAGTTCACTTTTAAAGACTAACAGCCTATTATGATAGCAGAAAAACATCCATAATCTAATGTACTGTATCAGTCCGTATCATTTGCTGTATGTATTGGTAAAATATGTTCCACATCACGTTTGCATACTTCATTTTTAAGATGACAATTGATTCAATATAAAGTAAGATACTAAAATTGAACATAATAGTAATATTAATTTTATGTTTACAGACGGCCCTCGACTTTGCACATAATTGCCAAAAGTGTGTGCAAATGTCGAATGTTCAAAAGTAGGGAGATGTAAAAAAATATGCACCAAAAACTGTGTTTAAAATATTTATTCCCTAATTTTACTCTTATTTTTCAAAATTGCACATATCATAAATCTGTTTACATCATATGAACGTCTGATTGAAGCAAAAGATTCGCCGTTTTCAGAATGTTTAATTATTTCCATCTTTGTCTCGATCGTATGAAGTTTATGAGTCCTTACTTTGTTTTTGTTCGTATCAACACTGCAGTTTCTCCATTTCTCACTCATGATTATCAATTTATAAGGACAAAATATTTAAACATAAATAAATTGACAAAACACACAACACATTGACGCACGCCCTAATTCAAGACAAACTATTTTGAACTCTTGCTTGGAACAACACAGTAGTGATTAGGATTCCAAGAAGGCCACAATTGTAGGAAGTAATGTGTGTCCAAAAATGTAGAGCAAGTTACCACACTTTGTAGTATACAAGTGTTCTGCATGGAAGGAAATTTTTTCATTTTCAACAAAAATATTTAAGAAGTTAAATTTTTAAAAATTTGCAAAATAGCAAATTGTGTGAAAGTCGAGGGCTGCCTGTAATTAATTTTGTACTTATAGCTAGCTCTAAATAATTTTAGTTACTGACAGAGGGGGGGGGTCAAAAAATGTAAGTTGGCCCAAAATGCATCTAGTTATGTATGTAATCAACCAAAATAAACATAATTAAACTGTAGTTTTCAATAGTTGAATTACCAGTAGTGTTCCTATACATCTGCAGACACAGACTTATAGAATTCCCAAAAATTTTCTAATTGGAATATAACTGGCATCCTAACATGAAAGAGAATTTTATCAACCAACATAAAACCAGTTTATTAAATAAAACACATTGAGATACCAGAAGATTAACTTTTTTAGTTCAGCACAAAGCTTTACATTTTGTTGCAATTAATAAATACACACTGTCTTTTGGCATTAATTTAGTTTGATCAAAATGCACACAAGTACTTTCAACATTTTACAAATGTCCTCTTTGGGTGGAAAAGAATGTGTTTAGGTTAAGAACAAAAATTTTAAATGGAAACATTTATGAGTTTTAAATAGGAGTTTTTAATTGAAATTTGCACTTTTGTGATGATTTTAAAACAAAATTTACAAATTATTTTTTATTGAATTCAAGTAAAGCAATGCAATGTGAAAGGAAATGATGCATAAAATATAAAGAAGAAAATATTAAAGAAATATTATGAAAAACAAAAGAGTTAAATATATAAATTATGATTTAAATACAGATTTCCAGGCATGCACTGGTTTGATGGATAAATTTAAAAAAAGGCATGGCATTGTTGAGAAAATGGTTTGTGGGGAGTACAGTTATTTAATGAAGATGACTGCAATCAATGGAAGAATGAAACGTTGAAACAGAGTTTGGAAAAGTACGAGCCAAAGGCCATTTTCAATGCAGAAAAAACTGGTTTATTGTTTAAGTGTACATCCAATAGAAAGATCACTGTATTGATTGAAGTAAGAAGTTGAAACTGTTAGTAATCAAGAAAAGCAAAACTCCACAATGTTTCAAAGGAATGAAGTCTCTTAAGTGGATTAATTATCATTTTAATAAGAAAACATGGATGACTAGCCAGATTTTTGAAAGTTAGTTATTAAAACTAAACAAATGACAAGAGAACACAGAAAAATTGCATTAATTGTAGATAACTGTCCAGCACATCCTATCCTTCTGCAGTCTTTAGTATTTTATAACGTAATTTCACTAGTGTGTTGTGGTGTTACGTTATAAAGTTAAATGTTGGCGTGAAGTGTACTTTTCTTTTAGTCTTTAGTATAGTGTCTCTACTTTTTCTCCTCCAAATTTAACATCTAAACTTCAGTCAATTGATCAAGGCATAATCAGAAACTTAAATTCCATTATTGCAAGAGAGTTTTAATAAAGAAGATTAATAGAGTTAAAAATAATATAGCTGGCAAAATTAATTTAAGAGAATGCATTTCTGAGCTATCAAAAGTGTGGACTCAAAGTGACTGAAATCAAAATCACTATAAAAAATTGTTTTTCCAAAGCAGATTTAATGAAAACTCTGATGAATAGGATAAAGACAATGAACCACCACTTTAAGATTTACAAAAGTCAGAAAGCATTAAGCCAATTCAATAAAATTACCACTAATATCACAATTATCTCAACATCAATGAAGATATCATTACCATCAAGTATTCTATAAATGATAAAATTTTGTAAACCTTACAAAGTAACAAAACTGACAAAACAATCCAATATGAGAAGGATGACGTTAGTGAGGAACACACAAAAAACCTAACAAATGACAAAGTGATAAGAGCATTTCAAATTATTCGAAGAGACTGCAACTGCAGCATTACAAAAATGTGCCTGGAAGAATTTCTAATGCTGTTAATAAGTGTGAAGCATACAGTATTACAAAGAGACAACATTTTTTAATTGTTCTGTGCAACAAAAAACATTAACTACATTTTTGTAAAAAAATTTGTAAACTAACTTGTAACCTAAATGTAAAAACTTACTAAGAATTATGTTATTACTATATATTATATTTATATTAATTTAAATTACATAAAATAATGAAAAAAATTACATTAAAATAATACTTTATTTATCAAAAAGCGATATTTTTGCATAATGAAAGTTTCCCTATAGCAATTTTTTTTCAGGATTTAACAACTTTGTTATATAGAAGTTTGACTGTATTTATAAAACTTAGTACAGTAGAATTATTATTATACAATTACAAAATTTATTTTATCTAAAAAAATTAATACTATATTAATCTGTTTATCACAAAAATTTATAATTTTATATTTCTTAATTACCAAGTTTTGCCAAGGCTGCAACTCCACCTTCCGGTTCTCTTCCTGCCATTTCTTTACGTAAATCTGCCATAAATAACATGAAAGTTGTTCCTGGTCGTTTTGGTTTATTTGTGTCACGAGGAGGCTTATATACTGCCATCTAGAAAAATGAAAAATTGTTTGCATATAAGTCATTCATTTGTAAAAACAATTTAATTATTATATTATAATCATCTGTCTATCCATCCTTTAATTCTCTTTATTGTAAAAAGTCAAAAAACTGATTACAAATGTAACTTAGGATATTAAATAAAAAAACTAATAAACATTTTATTTACAAATAGACAAAAATACTCATATACCATTTGCAGTATATTTTTTTGTACCAATACTAAAGAGTATCCAGTTAAAAAAACCTCATAAATATTGCAGATCAGATTAAAAACCCACAACTATATAAATCAAGTCATAATATAGCAGTACAATAGTGGCTATGAAAACACCACCCATAAAATTCTACACAAGTGTGTTTATTTTTTTAAATTATACTTTTTCTGCAGACCTGCAAAAACCTGTAAAGATTGTATCATCCATGATATCAAACATGGGGAAAATGCTTTTCACAGGCTAACAAATGTGGCAATGTTTCTGATGACTGCATTGTCCATTGGCTTAAAAACCCGTGCAGGGCAGTGTGCACAGGTTTTTAAGGCAAAATGGAAAGTTTTCAACAGTTAACATCATGTAAAAGTTTGTGGAGGTGCCAAAATATTTACCAAATTATAAACTTCATTGAAAAATTAAGTGTATTATAATAATAATTTTCAATAAATATTATATGACTTTATTGACCAAAAAAGGAAATTCACCTGAAACATATGTTAAAATATTTTCATGCAACTGATTAAAGTTGCAATGACACATGCTGTTATTCAGCATGCCATGTTGCCACTGGAAGAGAAAACATTTTCCCCAAATTTGGATTAGCACAAGGTACCAAATGATGAATATTACCAATAAAATAAAAGATAGAAGAGAACATTCTAAGGGCTTAAACCAAACTAACAAAAATTCACTGCCAGCCTTGTAAGGAACCAAGTCCGAGCATTATTTTTATTTACTTTTATTTTTTCTTTTTATTATATTTTTGTTTGGGGCTTATGTTTTGTTATGATGAAGGTTTCCTCACCATTCACCTTAGAAACTTAAAAATAGAAGAGAAACCAACTCACCAATGAGAGAAAAGCGCTGTAGAAAAAACTCGCGCACACTCGCACTCCAGAGCGGAAAAAAGTAAGTCTGCACCGAGAAAGGGGGGAGACCCCACCAGCACAACTTAGGGACTCACTAAACCTTAACGAATAAAAACATCCCGAAAATTGTCAAAGGCTAATGTAAAAGGTTAGCGAGTATTGTCGGAAAATAGGCTGCCAGACAAATAGAAAAAGTTTGTTAGCGAATAAGTATGTAAATGAGGGGAGTGATCACATTCAGAATTGTGACGTCACCTCACAGTATAAAGACTGAACCTCAAGTGCAGATGGACGAGGTGAGCTTCTGATAGCAACGAGCTTGGTGAGCTTCGAAACAGTGAACGAGAGGTGTCCGATAGGATCAAATAGTCCAAGGCAATTTTGAAGTTATTTGATTTGTGGATCGACGAATAGAGAAAGTCTTGAGAGTTGAGGAAATAGGTTCCTAGTATATTGAGGTGACGATTAGGATCTTTAATTCATAAGAATTATTGTATATAAGTTAAGTCTTTGAATTTTGTCGAATTCCAAAGGGGAATAGAATTAAGTTAGAAAATAGATTGATTTGAGTTTTGTCGGGTTGATTCTTATTGACTTTCATTGAATAAATTTGTTATTTGATTTTACTAAATATTGTATATAGTTATTAGAATTATTTATTAAATATTTGATTTTGTTATTGACAAACTTGCTCAATATTTAATTTGGTGCATGCTTAAAGTCCAGGCCTGGCACACTAACGCAAATCCACGTAAAGTACCTGTTAGGGAACGGCTATTTCCGGCACACAGTCGTGTCGATAATCGTTGGAAAAATAATATAGTACTTTACAGCCTTTGATCTAACTTTGTAACCAACAACCACTACACCATCAAATCATAACACAGGTCTGCAAATTTCAACTAACAAAAAACTGTCTGGACTTTGAGATGTAATTTTTACTAACAACAATAGATACAACTAAAAACGATCTCTCAAATGTTTCCCTCACATAACGTTTTAATACAAAAGCTTTACAAAGTTTTGTCAAAAATTCATAAAAGCATATTATATGCATATGTATAATAGTGTTTTAATTTATTTTAATGCAGAAAAAAATTACTAATTTCAGTTTATGATTAACATATATGAGTACATAAATTCAATATAAACAACTAATTAGCTTTGGTACTTATCAGTCCTGATTTGTTTTGCCCTAAAACTGCATTTTGTGGACCTTCTCTTATGTTCTGCATCTGGAATGTCCCTATGCATCATCCAACAGTAATCTGCCATAATACTGATATCCCATCATCCCCAGTATCTTCTTTCCATCTCCTTAATGTCCTAATGGAATCTTTTGCCCTGTTATTCACTTACAGCCCCTAGATTTTCAGGAAAGTAATCCAAGTGCAAGTTCAGAAAGTGTACCTTGAAACTCATTTTGCAGCCCAGCTCATGGTACTTAATTAACAAGTTTTCTACTATTTCTTTATAATCAAGATCTTTTTATTGTTTCCTAGAAACTTTGAAATGTTACCTGAAATGCAATCTAGCCATCCCATTTTAATTGTTGTTCATTGCAGAAAGAAGTTCTGTGTCTGATATTAATTTTCTTATATCATGTCCTGTAAATAAAACTTTTAGTTTTGCTTCAGACAAGATTGAAAACTTTTTGCACAAACACAAAAAGCAGTCTCCGTTCTTTGGTAGAGCCTTTATGAATTGTTTCATTAATTCCAGCTTAATATATGGGAGTGGCAGCAGCACTTTCTCTGGGTTCACCAAGCTGCTCCTCACAATATTCTTTATGCCAGGTTGTAACAGTTTTCTAGGTGGCCATTACTTCTGAATCAATGCAAATTCCTGACTCTACTGTCCCATTCACAAAGAAAACATGGAAACTTGGTATAACCTGACTGCTGACCTAATAACATGCACAGTACTTTCAAATCTCCACAGATAAGCCACTGATATATATTGTAATTAACTACTATCAATTTCTGTTTTAAAAATGTAGTTATATCTTTTTAATAACATAAATAAATTATGGCTACTGAAGTGTGTCACTAATATGGGTGCAAAATATGCAAAGAAAGCATTAATTTATCCAATAAAAATGGTTTTGTAGAAAAACATTACATGATAGAGAAAAAAAACTAGTAATATTTTTGAATTCAGCAAAAAAAGCATGTATGGATCACACAAAAAAAGTCAAACAGTTTGTCCACTGCAGACCTGTGTTATAATCAGATTATCATTAGAAGAAAAACTCAAACGATCAACCCTCAATTTCCAACTTTTGTCTCACCATTTTTTTTTGTATATTTAAGTATATAAATTCTCTCTCATGATCAAAAAGTTGTTGTACTCTCTGTACTCTAAAAAAAATTGAAAAAATAAATATATTTAGTGCTTAAATAGTATGTATTGTCACACTGTCAAGACTCAAGAGACATTCGCCTTTCATAAATAAATGTCAATTTGAGTTGAAGTCCTGGACAACTTATGAAAGTCAATCATACCTCATTATGAGTTAAAAGCAACAATTATCTACTTCATACCTCCATTCTTCTATAAAAGCTTAATAATTCATCTTATTGAATAATAAAATTATGCTGCAAAACACAGTTTTACTTATTTATTGTAAAGTAATTAACATTCCAGATTTACTGTATTTACCAAAAGAAATAAACATAAATTAAAGAATACCATTTACTTTTAAAAACAAAAAAATTTTTTATTTCTTTCCATTACACACATCATAAATTTTGCTTCTCTCTGGCTCATTTATTTTGCACTTAACTGAAATTGCTTAGGACACAACAAAACAATTATTAGAACAGCAATATAACCTAGAAACAATCATTGACACTATGAGCACTTCTTTGTATTCACCACATGTTACCTTATAGAGAATTAATAACCCATATCAAATAGTTGAGAGATTTCTCAGTGAAAAATATGGATTTAATATTCCTATCAAAATTACATCATGTTTTTTTAATTTTAATGGGTCATATTTTCTGCAGCTGACCAAAAATAATGCACTCATTGACTTGTTTGACATCTATGATATAGATCAGTGTTTTTCAACCTTCTTGAATATGCGACCCCTTTACAATTTAAAAAATTCTGGCGACCCTCCAGCTCCATATTAAAACTATATCAGTGATTTTAAATACTACGTATTTAATTTTCTTTCTGTTGAGACCTAAATATCAATTGAAAAACCAATTGTATTGTAAAATAAACAGATACAGCCTTCTCACTGAAATTGTACTTTTCTTTATTGTAGTGTAGGACCTATAAACACTTGTCTTTTTCTTTTACCCGCGACCACCCGCATAAGGCTTTGCGACCCCCAGGGGGTCACAACCCACAGGTTGAAAAACAAAACCATAGACCTCAAATTCGTAATTATCTCTTGGAATGTTGAAGGTTGCTCCTCTCATGAATTTAACTTAACTTTACTTATTTATTTTATTTTATACATAATTAGGAATTGCCAGACGGCAGATGATATCCACCCTCCAATTAACAAAAACCCCAACAGTGAAGTACAGTAAAAACAAAATATAAAGAATAAAAAAGACATGATCAATGAAAAACATGGTATATGTTAATGCGTAAATGTATCAAAATTTAAAAATTCATAATAAAAATATAGTAAAAACAATAAAATAAAAACTAATAATAATTTAAAAATAGTACAGATTGCATTGTCAGTTAACAATTCTGTATTTGTTCCGAAGGAAATGTAACAATAGCAACATCGAAAGAAAAGCTGGATTAACATACATAAACAAACAGGATAACAGATAAACATACAAGTACACCATGCCAGGATAAGAGTACTGAAGCAACTCAATCTGCAAGAATATATTGCTACTTCTTCTGAACTGAAACTAAAGTGGGAGAGCAAACA